GGGGGGGGGAAGTGTGGATGCCACAGGTTACCTTTTTTCTTACAAATCCCAGTTTTCTTTGTCCATGGGATATTTCAGATTGTATTTTATGCATTCTTTGTGCTTTATTCTGTGCACTCCACGTCTTTCTATCCCCACAGTTTTCAATAAGCTGATAGCTGTCTCTTTACATTCTTCAACCATATCTGCTTCTAGAAAGACATCATGTATGTATTGTACTCCAACTTTGTTCTGATCAAAAGCTACATGTTCTCCCAATTTGTTTAACAAATCTATTCTCATTAGAGGTAATGGACATTCTGGTGCATAGAAAAATTCAGGTGTGAGTATTTTATTTCCAGTTTCACACTTAATCAGTTGAAAGAAAAATTGAATCTCATGTTTTCCTGTAGTACAGTTACTGACATAGGAAATTTGCTCTTTGGTCCTTTTCAGCTATTTAGTACAGAATATGTTGCTCCTCTGTTGACTAAGAACTTAACTGTTATTCTGCAGCTTTTCTGAAACCAGGGATTCTTTAAGGGAATCTAGTTTCTCAGTCCCAAATCAATACAAATTTTTTGTATCAATCTTAAGTAAATGTGACTTCAGAATGTGTACAGATGGAGCTATCCAATTTGCTATCTGTCACTTTGGGCACTGATTTTTTTGTAAGTCCCCTTTCCCTGCAATTTGCATACTGATCTCTTTTCAGAGGAATCATATTCCCTAAATTTTCTCCTGCCCTCATCATCTTCTGCACTGTTGTGGTTTAACCTGGCAAGTAGCTAAGCACCACATTTGATCACCCTTTTCACACTCATTCTTAGTGGGACAGGGGAGGTAATTAGGGGGGAAAAAAAAGAAAAAAAGGAAGAAAGGAGGAAAAAGGGATAATAGTTATGAAAATAATAATAATAAATATATATACTTGTGTGTATACATATACATTTATATATATTTGTATATTTGTGTATGTGTGCGTATGAATATATATATACACACATACATATATACACACACATATATGAACAAAAGTGATTCAAAAGTGATTTCACATCACCTTCTAACAGATCCCCTGCCAGTCCCCAGACATGCTGCCCCACCAACTTCCCTGTTTTCAGGCTTTATTCCCATATGATTTCATGTACTATGGAATACTCCCTTGGCCAATTTAGGTCAGTTGTCCTGATTCCATTCCCTCCCAACTCCTTGTTTCCCCACAGCCTCCCTCACAGGCAGAACAGTATGAGAAGCTGAGAAACCAAAATGTCCTTAGCTCTGTGCAGTACTACTCAGCAACAACTAGAATAACGAGTGGGTTATCAAAATATATTCTGAAAGCCAAAACATCCCAGCTAAAACTAGGATATGCATCCTTATCTTCTAGGAAAAAAAAAAACTTTCTTCAGAGGAGGTTTGTATTCAAGCCAATGCAGCAGCCAAAATTGCAGCATTTTTCTTCCTTTCCTTAAATTTCACTTTGTTTTGCCTTCCTTTCCAATTCTTCCTCATTTTTGTATATCTTATATGCAATTACTGTTAGCTTAGACACTGACATTCTAGACATGCTGTCTACTTTTTATAACTTTCTTCTGATTCCCCTTCATGAGAAACTTGTTCAAGGCCGCATTGGACAGACTCCTGGACAACCTGGGACTTGGGTTAAGGTTGTTACCAGGAGACTTCCTGGCTGGGCACTGGAATAATTATCCCCTCTTCTTTTTTTTTCAGGTAGATAGCAACAAAGCGATGTTGAAAAGTCCAGTGGTGGTCAAAAAGACTTCAGGGCTTTGTGGAGATGGATAAAAGGATCAAGAGGGCAGATAGTGCTCCCTTCTACCCTTCAAGTTGAGGGAAACGGTATTGAAAGAAACAGGTGAGCTTTCAATATGGTTTGAAGGGATACATTGAGAAAATCAGGTTTACAACTGATGACAATAGAATGGCATGTCATGTTTGACAGCAAGCTAGTGAAGATTTTACTGAGTACTTTGGAGAACTCTTGAAGTGTTTGTATATCAAAACATGCAGTATGAAAAATAAATAAGAGGAGTTAAAAGCCTTATTCAGTTGCAGTGCTACAACATCACTACAATTGGTTGAACTTGTGTGAACAGTCTGTGCTTGAAGTGCTGTGATGAGTGATAATAGGTTCTTCAGGAAATATAGGCAGGTCAGGTCAGACAGATAGGTAACGCTGTATGCAAAAGGGGTTGAACTATATAGTGCTGGCAGTTAGAGAGTACATGGATGAGAGACTCTGGGGATAGCTTAGAGAAAAGCTAATAAAGCAGATATTACTGTGGGAGTCTATTACAGATCATCAAGCCAGCATGATATCAGTGACATAAGAGGACTGTGTCACGGAGTTGACCAGATCAATCTATGTCCGTGACAGGGGCGACA